TTTGTGTGGGCCTATTATTATTTTCTTTGAATTCCTAATCAGTTACAAATTATTTATCATTTAATGATTAACCTGTCTTTGCCCTGTCCTTTTTATGTTTGGGGTCCGCCTGGGCTCCTTGTCATTGGTTCTTGTTGCTGGGTCTTGTGGGGGTTGCGTTCATTGAACGCCACCTTTCCTTGTTGATCTTGTTTGTCATATTTTTCATTTTATTGGAGAAAACAGATTGCTTTTTTAATCATAAATATCCAAAATAATGCTAAACGTATGCGTTCTTGCTTTTATACTCTTGTACATGCTTAAACAGAGAAATATTTATTACTTATTTTGTTATTCCACTATTATAATGTACTCCTGAGGTATTCATATCATATCTGTAGAAATCTGTGTTTGTTATTAGTAAGCAGTAGGACATATAAAATGAGAGGCGCTACATCAAAATAGTTTTACAATGTAAGGTAACTCGTACTTGTTCTATAAATTTTTTCCCCTATTTTGTGTTTCTGTTAAATTATAGCTTCTTTAGTGCAGTAACATATTAACATAATGAACAAGGAATATGATCATTTGCTTCTGGTTATTTAATGAACTACTCTTCAAATCCTACCCCACCCATTATCTTTAGTTGATGCCAATAAAAATCTAGAGAAGATTACACTTATTATATGGAATGACAATATTTATGTAAGGAAATGAACATAAAATTATTCTGGAAACAAAGTGATCCCTCAGAAACATTAATCACAACAAAATTACATAAGAATTACAGACTCGGTTTGATTGAGTTTGTACATGATGAATAATGTATGTACATGATGAATAATGTATAAGTGCAACATCCCTCACGCCCCCTAGCAACGGCTTGAGCGGTACTCAATTCTCAACACTTAATAGTGCTGGCATCAATGATCCCGAAGGACCAGAAAATATAACAACACTGAAGTGAAGTACGGGGCAACGTTTCACAGCTGCCACACAGCACTTGACAAGTACAAAATTCAGGACACCTGCTGTTGTGAAGTACAAAATTCTGGAAACAAAGTGATCCCTCGGAAGCATTAATCACAACAAAATTACATAAGAATTGCAAACTCAGTTTGATTGAGTCTGTACATGAAGAATAATGAATAAGTGCAACATCCCTCACGCCCCCTAGCACCGGCTTGAGCGGTACTCAATTCTAAAAAAAATATGATAAACAATATCAACAAGGAAAGACGGCGTTCAATGAACACTTTATAGTGCTGGAATCAATGATCCCGAAGGACCAGAAAATATAACAACACTGAAGTGAAGTACGGGGCAACTTAAAATATGATAAACAAGATCAACAAGGAAAGGCGGCGTTCAATGAACGCAACCCCCATATGATCCAGCAACAAGAACCAATGGCAAGGAGCCCAGGCGGACCCCAAACAAAAACAGGACAGGGCAAAGACAGAGCACGGACAGGTTAATCATTAAATGATAAATAATTTGTAACTGATAAGGAATTCAAGGAAAATAATAATAGGCCCACAAAGGGGAAGGGGACAGGAGACCGGGGGAAGGGGGGGGTTAATCAAAGAAATAAAAACTAGAGGCAATGGGGAAGATACTTACCGTAGACGAGAAAACAACAAGGGACACAAGCAAAAGTGTCACCAAAACAGTGTAAAACAACATAGACATACATCTGAGGAACACAGTGGGGCGCCGCCTTGTCCAACAAGGAAAGGCAGCGTTCAAAAGATCAACAAGGAAAGGCGGCGGTTTTTCAGGAAGTAAAGCAGCTGTGAAGATAGAAGATATTGTATGGGGGAATCATTTATGTAAGGCCATCAGGAAGATGTCAACAGGTTTTCAGACATCAACATTGGAATCCTTTCACAGTGTGATTAACCATTTTGCACCTAAAATGACCAGCTACTCATATTATGGACAGCTGTGTAGACAGCATTTGGCTGCTCTTCACTTCAATGAAAATATCAAACGAGAGCCAAGGAAATCAGACAATGGAAACCTCAAATTTAAAATTGTTTTCCCAAAATTTAAAACTGGGGATGACTATTCTGTGAAAATTGTGTCGACAGAGAATACATATTTATATGTGCAAACACTTTTAGACACAACATTAGAAATGTGTGGTAAAAAAAATTCTATGGAAACACCAATTCCGCCACCTCTGACGTCAGGCAAGAGGAAACCAAGCAAATCAGAAGCGATATCAAAGTTGTCATCACGTTACAAAAAACTAAAATTTTAGAAAAAACTTGTGACCATTATGAGTCAACATAGTCTGCACGGTCTTAGGACATTTTTTACAGAGAGTATATGAGAAACTGTTTTCTGCTATAAACTGCCTGTAACTTTATCATTTGTATGTCTGTGTTCAAATGTAAACAATTTAGTCAAATTTCAGGACACATTCTTTATTTCACACAAACAAAAGTTGTTAACAAGTCGTTTTCATGAAGGTTGGGCTTTAAGCATCCATATACATGTATTAATTTTATTTTAATTTTAAAAGAATTTACAACTATTGATGTTGTCCGTTTCAAACTGTGAATGCTTGTTCACTTATACGAGTATATGTATCCATTTTAGCTCAAGGATTAGACTAAAAATGACATTTGTTGTACTCATCAAGGTGTGCAGTTGGTGTGGGAATCACACTTTAATTTTTGTACATTTTTTGTGACCGTTGGGCTTTAAGCATCCATATACATGTATTAATTTTATTTTAATTTTAAAAGAATTTACAACTATTGATGTTGTCCGTTTCAAACTGTGAATGCTTGTTCACTTATATATGTATCCATTTTAGCTCAAGGATTAGACTAAAAATGACATTTGTTGTACTCATCAAGGTGTGCAGTTGGTGTGGGCATCACACTTTAATTTTTGTATATTTTTTGTGGCCGCCTCCGTGGTCGAGGGGTTAGAGTCGATGACTTCTAATCCAGTTACCTCTCTGGCGTGGGTTCGATCCCCGGGAGATGCTTTGGTAGTTTAGCGCGGAGAAAGGTAGTCTAGTACTGGTGTAACTCTCCAGGAACGATGGTTAGGAAACTACTCGCCTATATGACTGAAATACTGTTGAAAAAAGGCGTAAAATGAAACAAACAAACAAACAAACATGCAAGTTTGTATAATAAAACCAACTGAAAGGGATGAATTGAAACTTGAAAAGGTGAAATAACTTTGAACCATTTTGTATAAATAATTTTCTTTTAAGTCAGTACTACTCAAGACTACTAAATGGTTGCACAATTGCATCTTTTCCCATTGTCTAAAATATAGCCCAGATTAAAAGCAATAAGGGCTTTTGGATAGTTTTTTCCTATTCATTTTCTGACAATATTATATTTCATACTAAAGGAATTCTGCGGAGGACTTTTTAAATGGAGGTCATGAACAGTATTTTTATTAAGTTGTGTGACAGAAGTTCAATTTTTGTTGGTGTTTGGACCTCACTGGATACTATTGCTTGATTTGTATATAGAGATTTAATGTTTTTTTAATGTTCATTGATATAGAATGCTGTTGAGAAAATGAAATTGTGTATAGTTATTTAAAAGCATTAGTTGCATGATAAATATTAAATGTGTTGCAAATTTAATTGTTGTTCTACTTGTTTAACCTTTGTACAGTAGCTGCATAGGTGCGATACTTTTCAGATTTTGTACAAATTAGGTTCATAGCGACACATAAACAAAAAGAGACTACACCAATTAATAGATTTTTGGCCGGGTTGCACAGATGAATGTCGGACGGACAGGAGGGAAAACCTTTTGCAACAGGTTTCTCAGCAACTATTTATCACAGCCTCTTGATATTTGGCATACATCATTGACATGTGGTCCCATACAGTGGATTTTGATTTCAGGTCTGTTGCTCATCCACTTCCTGTTAACCTACTTAGTTAAATTTTCGACATTAATGGTCAATGATAGGAAATTTTTGTAACAGTTTTCTGTTTATATCACCCAAGAGACTGATGATGTGTGCAATACATAGTTCTGATGTTCATTGTACCGTAAAACTCTACTACAGCTTTATCAAAGCCTGGCTAGACATTATAAAAGTCAATTTTTTTCCAAATATAAAATTATTGCCCATCCAAAAGTCACATACTTAGAATCACTGGCTTCCAGTCATACTATGAACATTGGATTCATTTATGTGAGGAAAATACTCTACTAGTTAGTCAGGTGCTGTAACTATGGATTCTGTATTTCTCTATTTTTTTGGAAATGGAAATAACTAGAATACAAGAGAAAAGAAAAAAAATCATTTACATTCACAACTTTTAATAGTACTTTTTCATAATATAATTTATTTCATACATTAGAAAACCCTTTGTAAACGTCTGACGGGAAAGTACTTCTTATCAAATAGATAAAAATAAGAATCCCTAAAGAAAGCCCAACACGGCAAAATTGAAAATGTTGCAGGCTCGGTTTGATTGAGCCTGTTCATGGACGGTACTGGAAAGTGCAAGTTACCGTCCACGCCCCCTAGCACCGGCTTAAGCAGAATTCAACATTTAAACATGAAATAGTAAAATTTTGAATTTAGAAACATCCGCAGATGTGTTCATACGGCGGTTATCATGGAACCTTCAATGTGACACTTCCGTGCCATTCCATAAAAAGCGGCGTATGGTCCCCAAGTAATAAAAAGCGTGTGCCCTAAACGAGAAAACAATGGGCGGAACTCAATAAATAGGAATTTTGAAAGGGGATCAGAGGTTATGAAGCCTGTGTATCACAGATAAGACGTCAAAAGACAAATTTAAAAAGCAGGCAACATATCCTAAGGGTAATTCAACATTATTCAAGTAGGAATATTGGAACCACCCAACTAGAAAATGCCAAAAAGTTGAAACTAAAAATACCACAAGCACAACAATAATGTCGTGCTGAACGATCTTCAAGGATCGAAAATATAACATCATTGATTAAATGTACGGGGCGACTTTTTACAGCCGCCACACGGCACAATTAACACGGATGTGATCACTGCACATGCGTGGGAAGCACAACTCGAACTTCTTTTCCAAGGTATCCCCAACACCACCTGGCTAACTGCCTGTAGGCAACATATCTCTGTCGTCTGAAAAAAAAACAACAAGAAAATACTTAGTTGTCAGAGCAATATTTTGGTGGTCACTACAATATTGTAATAAGTTATAGCTTTACATTAATAGTACAAAATTCTGGAAACAAAGTGATCCCTCGGAAGCATTAATCACAACAAAATAACATAAGAATTGCAGACTCGGTTTGATTGAGTCTGTACATGAGGGATAATGAATAAGTGCAACATCCCTCACGCCCCCTAGCACCGGCTTGAGCGGTACTCAATTCTCAACACTTTATAGTGTTGGTATCAATGATCCCGAAGGACCAGAAAATATAACAACACTGAAGTGAAGTATGGGGCAACTTTTTACGGCTGCCACACAGCACTTGACACCTTGTTGATCTTGTTTATCATATTTTTTGCCCTGTCCGTTTTATGTTTGGGGTCCGCCTGGGCTCCTTCCAATTGGTTCTTGTTGCTGGGTCATATGGAGGTCTTTCCTTAGGCCGCCTTTACTTGTTGATCTTGTTAATCAAATTGAACTTTTGAATTAAGTGTGTAGCCCTTTATGAGCATGAAGCTAAATGTTATATGTATATCTGTGCCTGAAGTAACTGATAAAAATCTCAAGAATTTTATTTCCCCTATATTAATTATGTGAAATATAAAATAATTTTACAAAATGTCAAAGGAATAGTACTATATTCCACCATATCACGTCTAAGAAAATGCCTTCAAATATGATAAACAAGATCAACAAGTAAAGGCGGCGTAAGGAAAGACCCCCATATGACCCAGCAACAAGAACCAATGGGAAGGAGCCCAGGCGGACCCCAAACATAAAAAGGACAGGGCAAAAATATGATAAACAAGATCAACAAGGAAAGGCGGCGTTCAATGAACGCAACCCCCATATGATCAAGCAACAAGAACCCAATGGCAAGGAGCCCAGGCGGACCCCAAACATAAAAAGGACAGGGCAAAGACACGTTAATCATTAAATGATAAATAATTTGTAACTGATTAGGAATTCAAAGAAAATAATAATAGAATAGATAAATACGAAATCCCTAAAGAAAGCCCAACACGGCAAAATTGAAAATGTTGCAGGCTCGGTTTGATTGAGCCTGTTCATGGACGGTACTGGAAAGTGCAAGTTACCGTCCACGCCCCCTAGCACCGGCCCACAATAAGCCCACAAAGGGGACAGGAGACCGGGGGAAGGGGGGGGGGGGTTAATCAAAGAAATAAAAAGTAGAGGCAATGGGGAAGATACTTACCGTAGACGAGAAAACAACAAGGGACACAAGCAAAAGTGTCACCAAAACAGTATGAAACAACATAGACATACATCTGAGGAACACAGTGGGGCGCCGCCTTGGAACGGTCAGCAGCATAATAATGACTGCTGGGGAGTTTAAACCGGTTAATGGTGCATTCAAGACTTATGTAGTGCACAAACAAAGAACATATCAGTTGAAAAGTTTAACTTATTGACATAAAATTAATTTTCTATTTATCAAGTCATTACACTTACTCATTGCTTACTCAATCAAACCGAGTCTGCAATTCTTATGTTATTTTGTTGTGATTAATGCTTCCGAGGGATCACTTTGTTTCCAGAATTTTGTACTTCACAACAGCAGGTGTCAAGTGCCGTGTGGCAGCCGTAAAAAGTTGCCCCGTACTTCACTTCAGTGTTGTTATATTTTCTGGTCCTTCGGGATCATTGATGCCAACACTATAAAGTGTTGAGAATTGAGTACCGCTCTTGAGTACCGCTCAAGCCGGTGCTAGGGGGCGTGAGGGATGTTGCACTTATTCATTATCCCTCATGTACAGACTCAATCAAACCGAGTCTGCAATTCTTATGTTATTTGTTGTGATTAATGCTTCCGAGGGATCACTTTGTTTCCAGAATTTTGTACTTCACAACAGCAGGTGTCAAGTGCCGTGTGGCAGCCGTAAAAAGTTGCCCCGTACTTCACTTCAGTGTTGTTATATTTTCTGGTCCTTCGGGATCATTGATGCAACACTATAAAGTGTTGAGAATTGAGTACCGCTCTTGAGTACCGCTCAAGCCGGTGCTAGGGGGCGTGAGGGATGTTGCACTTATTCATTATCCCTCATGTACAGACTCAATCAAACCGAGTCTGCAATTCTTATGTTATTTTGTTGTGATTAATGCTTCCGAGGGATCACTTTGTTTCCAGAATTTTGTATGCTCAACCTCGCCATATTGTTGTCTGTACTGGTAGTAGGCAGTCTCCAAAACATACCTGTCAAGACAAACAGACTGGAAACCAGGATGCCGGGTTATACACGAAAGGTTTGTTGCCATTTCTTCCTTAAACTGCTCTATCTTTAGTTTCACACTGTCAATCTCATTACAACAGATAGATTCTCTGTCATTATCCATTGCTCTACAGTTCTCACATTCACACCTGAAATGATAGTACGAGAAAAGAAAAAATCAGCATAGTAAACTACTTTTATTCTTGAATAGTCTCGGGGTCTAAAGCAACAGTATATAAGTTTAATCTCATTTTCTTGTTTAAAATACATGTCACATTGAAGGTTCCATGATAACCGCCGTATGAACACATCTGCGGATGTTTCTAAATTCAAAATTTTACTATTTCACGTTTAAATGTTGAATTCTGCTTAAGCCGGTGCTAGGGGGCGTGGACGGTAACTTGCACTTTCCAGTACCGTCCATGAACAGGCTCAATCAAATCGAGCCTGCAACATTTTCAATTTTGCCGTGTTGGGCTTTCTTTAGGGATTCTATATTTATCTATTTCACTCATCAAATATATACAGAGTGGTCTCCTCAGTCTGTGATGCCTTTTAAAAAATGTGTCAACGTGTTTTATTTCCGTAAGAACAGTCAACAAATACTTCATTTCCATTTTGTTACTTTTAAATTTACTACTTATGTTATTTACGATAAGTATCGTCTCATGTTTAAAAACAAATTTTAGTGCCGAAATTGATTTTAGTGGGTGGGGTATGTTCTTATCGTACGTCCCAGGTTGCTTGTTTCTCCTATATAAACTAGAACTATCACTAAATGTGATTAATACCCCCACAAGACTGCTTCGGAAATGAGGATGTTACTAGTAACAGAATATCTTGTAAAAGAATTGAAATATAAAGTTATGGTTGTGGGCAATTAAAGACAGTTGTGGTTCTTGTATATTGCATTTCCTTTCAATGTGGTTGGCCATTGATGAAGTTTTATTAAATTACTTCTGTAATAAGTCCGAAAGACAAAGAAAAGGAACAAAAGGGCAATAACTCTATAAATACTGAAGATGGAGTTATAGTTCTTGTGCACTGCACTTCCTCTTTTTGTGCTTGACCATTGTATGAAGTTGTTTTGAATTTCAACCAGTACGTTTTAAGTTATGCTTCAGACAAGGAAAAGTATCAAAGGGCAGTAACTCTGTATTTTGTCAAAATGGAGTTATGGCTCTTATGCACTGCACTTCCTTTTAATGTCCTTGACAACTGTATGAAGTTGTATTGAATTCCAAAAACAGTAAGTTTTCAAGTTATGCCCCGGACAAGGAAAAATAACAAAGGGCAATAACTCTGTAATTTGTCAAGATGGAGTTATGGTTCTTGTCCACTGCACTTCCTCTCAATGTGCTTGACCATTGTATGAAGTTATATTGAATTCCAACCATTAGTCTTCAAGTTATGCTCCGGACAAAAAAAAGCAATGGAAAAGTAACAAAGGGCAGTAACTCTGTAATTAGTCAAGATGGAGTTATGGTTCTTGTGCACTGCACTTCCTCTCAATGTGCTTGACCATTGTATGAAGTTATAATGAATTCCAACAATTAGTCTTTAAGTTATACTCCGGACAAAAGAAAGCAATGGAAAAGTAACAAAGGGCAATAACTCTGTAATTACATTAGATAGAGTTATGGTTCTTATGCACTGCACTTCCCCTTACTGTGTTTGACAATTGTATGAAGTTGTTTTGAATTCCAACCAGTAGTCTTCAAGTTATGCCCCGGACAAGGAAAAGTAACAAAGGGGCAATAACTCTGTAATTAGTCAAGATAGAGTTATGGTTTTTGTGCACTGCACTTCCTCTCAATGTGCTTGACCATTGTATGTAGTTATATTGGAATTCCAACCATTAGTCTTCAAGTTATGGTCCGGACAAATGAAAGCAATGGAAAAGTAACAATGGGCAATAACTCTTTAATTACTTTAGATAGAGTTATGGTTCTTGTGCACTGCACTTCCCCTTATTGTGTTTGACAATTGTATGAAGTTGTTTTGAATTCAACCAGTAGTGTTCAAGTTATGCCCCGGACAAGGAAAAATTAACAAAGGGCAGTAACTCTGTAATTAGTCAAGATAGAGTTATGGTTCTTGTGCACTGCACTTCCTCTCAATGTGCTTGACCATTGTATGTAGTTATATTGAATTCCAACCATTAGTCTTCAAGTTATGGTCCGGACAAAAGAAAGCAATGGAAAAGTAACAAAGGGCAATAACTCTGTAATTACTTTAGATAGAGTTATGGTTCTTGTGGCACTGCACTTCCCTTATTGTGTTTGACAATTGTATGAAGTTGTTTTGAATTCCAACCAGTAGTTTTCAAAAGTTATGCCCCGGACAAGGAAAAGTAACAAAGGGCAATAACTCTGTAATTAGTCAAGATAGAGTTATGGTTCTTGTGCACTGCACTTCCTCTCAATGTGCTTGACCATTGTATGTAGTTATATTGAATTCCAACCATTAGTCTTCAAGTTATGGTCGGACAAGGAAAATGCAACGGACGTCTGGACCGACCGACCGACCGACCGACCGCCCGAACCGACCAACCGACCACCGGGTGACTCCTATATACCCCCCCCCAAACTTTCGTTTTTGGGGTAATAAATATATAATATAAAACAATTGAATTTATTACTTATTACTTGACAATATTATTTCCATTTGGTGTATAGAAAATCGAATTTGCACACCACTGAACAAAACATTGAAAAAGAAATGCTTTACAATTTCATACCAGTTTGTGTTGCCCAATCTTTCGACTCTTCGTTTTCGATCACATCGGCCTGATTATTGGAATTTACTTCGTCAAGCCGCATAATTGGCTCAAACTGGAAGGTAAAGTCTGTATTTCTTCATCTTCACTCTCAGAAAAAGCATTATCTGACGAATATTCGCTCCCGCTGTCATACGTTTCTCTGTAGTCGGCCATTGTATGGACTTGGAATGACGTCACACCCAGCCAGCTGGGGAAAAATGCCGATCGGCACTTTCCGGAATATTTCCGTCCCTTTCCGTAACAGGTGTGTTTAAAGGGGAACTTTATGGGTTTATAAGCAGGTAACCATTCGGTATTTTTCGTCGATAAGAAGTGCATTCGATTTATTGTACTTATATCTTGCTATTTTCAAAACGTAAAATGGTCAATCAATGGGACAACTCAAAAAACGTAAATCAAATTACCCTGTCTGTCACCGACTTAAATATTATTAAAGAACTCTGGTAAGAACATGCAATGTTATCACGTCTTACTTCCCTTTCATTATCATCTCTGAAAATCTTTAGACGCGGAAGCAAGAATAATATAGTTATTCAACAGATCCTTTATATACAGCAGCTTTCTTATTCAAAGTTATACTCAAGCACGTCTTAAGACCTATATCGACAAACACTTCTGACCACAACAGCATTTCCTAAAAGTAAACCTTTCTTAAATAAAGGTATCGATTTCATCGATTTACGCAAGTATTTTTCGTGATAACGTGTCACTAAAATTCAGTTCCTTTATAATCCCTTCAAAAACACCCGAGATTACCAATTATTTGCTATAAATATAAGAAACCTGTTAGAAATATCATATTTAATTACAAAAAGTTGGTTTCTGACTTAGATATTCAGTCTAATACTCAACAACTTGAGACTGCAATACTTCTAAATTCTGTAATTCAGATTTTGGCCCATATAATCACTGGTAATTTTTGATATAATTGCAGACAAAAGAAATTCGTAACTTATTCTTGAAAGGACCTAAATACAGAATTCCTTCTGAAATTGATTTTTAATGCTTGTCGTGGTCAGATTGCTGAATCTATAGAGGATTTTTCGGTTTCAAATGGTGTCGCCGTGAAAATGGCGGATAGTAATGCTCTAGTTACATGGAAACGTAACATCTTTAAAATTATTGATTCACGTATTAATTTTTATCGTGGAAATGAAACATCTTTTGCCACCTAAAACAAGACTTACTTTAAAGACATCTGAAGAAAGATATTCTAGCTTTTCATTCTAAATTTGTTTTGGTGCCAGCGGACAAGGCGGCTAATAATATTATAATTGTATGACGAATCCATTACATTAACGTTTTGCATAAGGAACTTAATAGTAACTAATGCGTATTCTAAAACCTCTGCCTCCGAAAAAGACATTGTAAACAATCATATTACTAATATTTCAAATCTTAAAGTACAAATTAATGAAAAAGAACTTAAACTTCCTATTATGTATTGGATTCCTAAATTACATAAAAAACCTTACAAAGCTAGATCATTGCTAATTCTAACATCCTTGCACTAAAGTAAACTTTCCATTTTAAATTGACGTCTTGTTTGACTGCCATAAAACACAATGTAATTAGATATTGTGATAAAGTATATGAAAACACAGGAAACATCTCTTTGGTCAATTAAAAAATCTGGTGAAATCTTGGATAAATTCAAAATTAAGAACTTTCAAGCTTCCACTGTCAGTACATACGGATTTTTCTACACTTTATACAATTTTGCCACAATAAATTAATCAATGATAAACTAAAATTTCCCTAATTCAGAAAAACTTTTGCACGGGGAAAAAGTTACCTTCCTAGGCATGTAATTCTAACAAAGCTTTTTTTACTAACGTATTGTAAAACATTATACTATGGGACCTGTGACGAAGTTTGTAGAGCACTCTCTTTTCTTTTAGACAACATTATGTCAGGTTTGGTAATACCTATTTAAACAGATCATAGGAATTCCTATGGGTATAATTGTGCCACCCCTGGTCGCCGAAATTTGTTTTTTTTTTTTTTTTTGTACTGCTATGAAAGAGACTTTATGTTGAGTCTCTCTGAATTATAAACAAACGAGATGTTATAGTCGCAATTTAATAAAACTTTTCCAGATACCTTGATTGATATCTTTTAATTTAGATAATCCTTATTTTGATCAAAATTGGTGGGTCTGACATTAATATCCGCATGTAACTACAACCCTTAATAAAACGAACTCTTCAATTTTAGTTAACATCATTTTTGGATCTTCATAATTAGCCTATCAAAACAATTCTTATTCACACAACGCACAAAATCTATGATAAAAGAGATGACTTTGACTTTTGTATAGTTTAATTATCCACATTTAGATGGAGACGGTTTTACCCCATGCAACATCCTACGGGGTTTATGTTTCCCAGTTAATTAGATTCGCTAGAGCTTGTAAGCAACGTAAAGATTCAACGAGCGGAACATTTTTATTACCAGCAAGCTTCTAAAACAGGGCTAAACCGCTATCATAAATTACTGAAATATTTATCTAAAATTTTACAATCGTAACTTTGATTTTTAATTTTCCAAATTCAATAGTGATTTTAAAAACTCTTCTGCGACAAGGGATTAGCCAGCCTGGTTTTAATGCGATGTGATTTACAAACTTCGTAGATTTTGGGTCATGGTAATTTTTCTGCTGTTTTTACTAAAATCAATTAAAACGTTTTATTAAAAGAGGTTATGACCCTACTATTTTTAAGACATACTGCATGTTTAGTGTTCAACCCTTTTACAGTTGAGACACTACGCTTTTCCTCTTTTGATTGCATCTGAAAGCGGACCAAGTGGGAGACTGCTAATGATGGGATAGTTCGTAAAGGCCCTTTTGTGGACTTTTGAATTGTCTTAATGTTCGCGTCTTCTGCCTTGCTTCGTCGGGGCCCTTGTAGGTGATTTTTCTTGTTGCTCTGTCTTCCTTTAGGACATCGAGTTACTTTTTGTTATGGTCATTGGGTTTACTTTTATATGTTTCTACATGATCATTTTAGTGGTTTTACTTATTTAACCTTTTGTAACCATGACAACTGTTAGAATTTCACTTGGCGGGGATTCATTTTTATTTACACTGTCTCGTTTATAGGAACATGGTGGGGCTAAGAGCGAGGTTTGGTGCACCATTAACCGGTTTAAACTCCCCAGCAGTCATTATTAATGCTGCTGACCGTTCCAAGGCGGCGCCCCACTGTGTTCCTCAGATGTATGTCTTATGTTGTTTCATACTGTTTTGGTGACACTTTTGCTTGTGTTCCCTTGTTGTTTTCTCGTCTACGGTAAGTATCCTTCCCCATTGCCTCTAGTTTTTATTTCTTTGATTACTCCCCAGCCCCTCCCCCCGGTCTCCTGTCCCCTTCCCCTTTGTGGGCCTATTTTTATTTTCTTTAAATTCCTAATCAGTTACAAATTAATTATCATTTAATGATTAACCTGTCCGTGCTCTGTCTTTGCCCTGTCCTGTTTTTGTTTGGGGTCCCCCTGGGCTTCTTGCCATTGGTTCTTGTTGCTGGGTCATGTGGGGGTTGCGTTCATTGAACGCCGCCTTTCCTTGTTGATCTTGTTTATCATATTTTAAATGATAAATAATTTGTAACTGATTAAGAATTCTAAGAAAAGAAAGAAAAGAATAATAGGCCCACAAAGGGGAAGGGGACTAAAATGATCATGTAGAAACATATAAAAGTAAACCCAATGACCATAACAAAATAAAGTAAAGCAGAATCCCTAAAGAAAGCCCAACACAACAATATTGAAAATGTTGCAGGCTCGGTTTGATTGAAGCAAGGCAGAAGACGAACATTAAGACAATTCAGTCCCAAAGGGCTTTAAGAACTATCCATCATAGAGTCTCCCACTTGGTCCGTCACATGTTATCAAAAGAGGAAAGCGTAGTGTCCAACTGTAAAAGGGTTGGTAAAAAATTCTGGAAACAAAGTGATCCCTCGAAAGCATTAATCACAACAAAATAACATAAGAATTGCAGACTCGGTTTGATTGAGTCTGTACATGAGGGATAATGACCACGCCCCCTAGCACCGGCTTAAGCAGAATTCAACATAAACACGAAAATGGTGAAATTATTTTTTTTTCCTATGTTTGTTTCATTTTACGCCTTTTCCTAACAGTATTTCAGTCATGTAGGTGGGTAGTTTCCTAGCCATTGTTCCTTGAGAGTGACACATGTACTAGACTACCTTCCTCAGCGCTAAACTACCAAAGCATCTACCGGGGATCAAAGTCGTCGACTCTAACCCCTCGACCACGGAGGCGGTTTAAACCTGCAACATTTTCAATTTTGTTGTGTTAGACTTTCTTTAGGGATCCTGTTTTTCTCTATTTTATTTGATCGGGCCTGTACATGGTCGGTACTGTCAAGTGCAAACTACCGTCCACGCCCCCTAGCACCGGCTTAAGCAAAATTCAACATGAATTGGTACAATTTTGAAATCCGCAGATGTGTTCATACGGCGGTTATCATGGAACCTTCAATGTGACACAGTAGTGCCATTCCATGAAAAGCGGCGTATGGTCCCCAAGAAAAACCGAGCCTGCAACATTTTCAATTTTGCCGTGTTGGGCTTTCTTTAGGGATTCTGATTTTCTGTATTTTAAAGTACAATTAAATTTTAAAACATCTGAATTACGATGATACCTCTTTGTAAAATATTTACGTAATTTATTATAGTAGCACTTTGTAAAATATTAACGTAATTCATGATAGTGATAGCCTCGTTGAAGAAAATAGATAACTACAAAATCCCTAAAGAAAAAGCCCAACACGGCAAAATTGAAAATGTTGCAGGCTCTCAAGGAACGATGGCTAGGAAACTACCCGCCTACATGACTGAAATACTGTTAGGAAAAGACGTAAAATAAAACAAACATGGGAAAAAAAATAATTTCACCATTTTCGTATTAAATGTTGAATTCTGCTTAAGCCGGTGCTAGGGGCGTGGACGGTAAAATATGATAAACAAGATCAACAAGGAAAGGCGGCGTTCAATGAACGCAACCCCCATATATGACCCAGCAACAAGTACGGTACTGGTATGTGCAAGTTACCGTCCACGCCCCCTAGCACCGGCTTAAGCAGAATTCAACATTTAAACATGAAACATGAAATAGTAAAATTTTGA